CAATAATCTTGCAGCTGTTATAAGATTCAACATCAAATTCGTTTCTTTAACATCCAAATCTTCGATAATACCTAACAAAAATATCTGCGGTGCAAACGTTATCTTTTTCTTAAAAATGTTTTGAATATTCCACCAAATCTTAATCCAAAATACTTTCTAAGAACTTAAGCAAACTCTTAATGTGCAGAATTAATGCAACGGTTCAGTAATTTGCACATCCTCTTGCTATCCTTTCAGTATATACATATCTTTTCCAATCTCTATCCCATCCTGTTGTTCTGTAGTATTGACATGGAATTATTAGCATTTGAGCTGGTTCTTCTCCAACTTTATAAACAGTTCAGTACAGTATTTCATCTTCATGTGGTACTTGTTAATTTTACAGCTGGTCTGTTGCATGTCATAACTCACTTTCTAATGGATTCAATTATCAAATACATTCTCTCTTTACAAATATTCCTGTCATTTTAGAATCCTTTTTGCAAATGATTCAGTATGGTTTCCAATATTTCCTTTATCTCATCTGTCTTTAGCTGATTTCTCCTGTGATTACTCTTCAGTATTCCTATCTCTTTATTTTTCTTGTGATTGCTCAAATATTCTTAAAATGTATGAAATTTTCTTTTTCTTCAATATTCCATATTTTTCAATATGCTATTTTAAACAAGCTAGAATGGACAGTGGAGATTCAGAAGTAGTGGTAATGCCTTCCTTTTAGGATCAACTATTAGTAGGAAAGAGTCAGCATTCAAGAAATATGTCCTAACTAGCACTTGGTAGAGTAGCAGTTAAGGCCCTAGAAAAGTATTCAGATGCCTATACCTGTAAGATTTCTGAGAATACCACAGATAGCTCATAGAACAAACAAACAAAATGTGCTCTACAAATAAAACACAACTTACAATTGCTAATGACTCCTCCAAGTGGATCACCTTTAAAATCAAATTCAATGTCCATATATTTTCCCTGAAAAGAGAAATAATAATAATAATGATGATGATGATGATGATATGTTTTTATTTACATGCCACATAACAAGTTCAGTATTTAGAGATTATTTAAATATAAAAATATTTAACAACGTTTAGCCATTCTAAATTGTTTCATTTTAAATAAATCATATTGTATAAAGTGTGCTTATTTATCTCACAGCATACAAGAACATTGTAATTAAATTAATTTTTGATAGGTAACTTCTAAAAATCCATATATTCCTTGGAAAGTACTAGGGGTTTTCCAAGAACAATTCTGTTGTGCAGGTTTCATATAAAAGTTACACAAACACATATGCAGACCTATGATCTAATATGGGATAAGCAAACTGTGTGCAGATTTTCTTTTCTTAACCATCAGATTGTAAAGGTTGTTCTTTCAAAATGTTCCTTGTTTTATGGGACTGAAATATGGCAGGCTTCATACATTCATAATAATAGATAGAGATATATTGAGTTAAGAAATATCTGATGATTCAGATCTGCTGTTCTGTTTGATTTCTGACATCAGCCCTGCACAAAACAGCAAGAAAACGTTCTAGAAACATGAGTGGGAACAGATATAAATACAATGACCACAATTTGAAAGGCTGTTCTAAAGTATGTGACTAGAGTATAAGCATACAGTGAAGTGATAGCCAATGTGTTCACTCTATATGGGCTTTTTATTCTATTGGTTTATAGACTTGTTCACCATTGATTTTTCCATTAACTCTGCTTTTAAGAAGCTGGTTGTGAAGCACAGACATAATGATAACATAACTGTGGAATGCTGTGACTGTGCCCATCGGCTGCACTATTGTAACTTCAAACGTCACTAAACAAGCAGTTGTTAAGGAGGCCCATATATATATATTAAGAGTAACATAATGAAGTATCATGTCCAGTACCTGGCTTTGTAAAAGTGCTCATTTTTGCCGTATTCTCTCTCTCTCTCTCTCTCTCTCTCTCTCTCTCCCTCCCTCCCTCCCTCCCTCCCTCCCCTCTCTCTCAACACACACACTATTTCTGTCACATGGCTTTTAGACAACTAACTAAGCCAACAATAATATAAACTAAATCTAAATTATAATTATGCAGTCAGACAGTCCTAAATTTAACTTGCTATTGGCTAAGATGTGAGGTAGCTCTCTGGTCTCTGTGCTGGTGCATTTCTCCAAAAGAAAGTTCACCTCAAGCACAAAATTCTTCTGTAATGGATTTTCATCCACAAAGTACTTTTGTTTCCCAATCTACTAGCTATATGTCTTAAAAAACAATTTCCCCTTACTATAAATGTAATTGTCATTGTACTCAATCCAGTGTCTACCCAGATTTAATAACCTGATTCTAAGGAATAACCTATAACATTTGACATGAGTCCATCATATATGTTTAACTTTCAGTATTTAGGGTATAATGATATTCTCTAGAATACATAAGCGTCTTTAAAATAGTTACCTACATCTCAGTATGACAGAGCTGGCTATGACACAGAATTGGGTTAGATCCAATATTACTGTATGAACAGAAGGAGACTGCCATTTGCAGATGGAGCCCCAGAAGAATCTACTAGGAAAGAACTATCCACATGTAATTTCCTCAACAGAAAGATTAAAGAAAAATAAAACACTAATCAGTATGGAACATTAATTCTACACTGCACTGTAGTTCTAACATTTCAGTACTACTGATTAGTTCTCTGGCCAAATCACTTGCATGTTTTTATTTTGATACTTACAAATCTAGACGAGTTATCATTTCTTACAGTTTTGGCATTTCCAAAGGCTGGTAGGAAGAAAAAAGAAAATTAAATATATGCACGATTTAGCAGTAAAGCTGAGCAAATATTCAAAAATACAGTTAAGGCTGCACCAAATAAGTTTGCTAATTCAAAGTGAAGCGGTCATAATTTTAAAAAGTTTAATGTAAGTGGAAACAAAATAAGTAGGAATTCTACAGCTAGTGTAATAGTCTACAATAAAATAAAATAAAATCTATTTAAGATATGGTGGCCCGTTCATTAATATATTGATAGTTAATAGTTTTCTATTTATCTGTTTTTACCTAAGAAAGAACTGGATTTGGAATGCTCAGCTTAGAGGACCAAAGAAAATATGTGTGCATTGCATATATAAGTCTAACCAAGTAGCAAAGTTACAAAGTTACAAAGAGAAATAAGGCATACAAGTTGAAGGAAAAACATTATCTGGCCTGCTAGGTTCATACAGCCATAATGGTTTTGCATATAAATACTTCAGGCTCAAAGTCCAATAATTCTGAGTGGGAATGGAAAATGATCCTGTTAGAAAATTTGGAATGCAGCCATCTATCAATGCAAAAACATTGCTGAAATAGATAAGCAAAATGTCTGATTTGGTATATGGTAGGGTTTTTTTGTATGCTCATAAATGTCTCTACAAAGTTGAGTTTTTTTAGATATACAATTTCGTGGATAACTCTGTGATGAAGGATAATTTCCAACTGGCATGTCCATCATGGTATAAACATTGTATGAACAAATAGTTAACTCCCAAATTATGCTACCACACCCAAACCATCATATTATGGAATAATGGGCTATATTTTCCCCACAAACCATAAAATAAGGAGGGGAATCATGCACAGAGTATGTGATCATGCTTATTCATGTAACATTAGGCACAGTCTGGTGTGATGTCTCAACTCTACTGTTGTCTATTACACTGACATAACTACTAGTTCACTAGTTCTCCTTATTTTATGGTTTTAAAAATGGTCATATTAATCCTTCCATCAAAAGAACTAAGCCCACAGTGAACAAATTAGCCTTATTATAATACAAACATATTCTAAGGAATTAATGTGATAGGTTACTTTGTACTCATTACATTAAACATTCTTATGTTACAAAGGGGTATGCTGATTTTTTTGGCTTCTGTACATAAGTAACGCTCAAATCAACTGGATATTTGAAATGTTATTTCTGCTTCACTAAATTTGGGATTTTGAGACTTCCCTAGATCAAAGCACTGAAGCCAGAAGGCAAAGTGCATGCTGAAATAATCATTCTAAAAATTTAATAGAGTGCAGAATTCACAAGCAATAAATCATCTTCCAGTCTGAAGGCTGCATATCATTAAGCATGAGGCTAAAACACTAGGACCATTTATATATGCATGCAGAATCAAATACAAATGGTCTATTATAAGAGTTTAGAGGCAAATTCTTCATTTCACCATAAGTTCATTGTTTCCCTATGTTCTTCTGCAGTAGCTGGAATGCAAAACTCAATCATTGGTAACTTAGGCAAGCAAATACCCAGGACATTTTTTGAACAATAATTTCATGCAGTGGCAAAAAAAAAACAATGGCATCTAAATAAAGTTATGACTTAAGCAAAAACTGCTCCAACTTGTTCTTTAATGAAACAGATATATTTGTCAACTTTCACGTGACAAATATTTGGAAAGGACACACACACAAAAAAAAATAAAAGGGCAATACATATTATGACATCATTTATTTGTCAGATTTGAAAATTCATGCCACTAACATAATATTTTTACCACAAATATTTCAAAGATGTTACAGTCTCTGCCTTGAAATAACAGCAAGCACAAAGTAGTTTCCTACATACACTTTTAACTTCATTCCTGTGCAGTATGGTGTGGCAGTGATGGACATGCCTTGGTATACCTGTGTAACACCTGTACTTCGTGAACTGCCCTAGTTGCCAATCTACTTCTGGGTGCAATTCAAGGTGTTGGCTGCCACCTATGAAGCCCTACATGCCAAAGGGCTTGGATAACTGAAGGACTGCCATAGCATCTGCCTGGCTAGTTTGATCAGCCAAGGTTGGTGTGTTCGGCATTCTTTCAATTAATCAATGGCATCTGTTGAAATCCTGGAAATGCTCCTATCCTCTGGAATGAGCTTCCTCTTGAGATACAAATGGCCCCCACACTACTGGTATTTCAAAGGACTCTGAAGTTGTGGCACTTTGCCCTGGCCTTTGACAAGGATGGCTGATGCCCCATTCTTCCTTTTTCATGTCCCCATCTGGGTTTGTATTTTTTTCTCACCTTTGTTCTTTTGTCTTGTCCTGTTCTTGTATTATCCTTTGTTTTTAAATGTTTTTAACAATTGGAAGTCAGGAAGTATGTACATTTAATAAAGTATTATTAATTATTATTACGTGTAACTTGGTGCTTTTTTGATTTAAAAATTAAAATTACATAAACTGTCAATTAGACAACACTTAACAGTATTCTATACCTACCAAACAACTGACTGACAAAATTTTAACTTTGAAATATACGTCTTCTGCTGTCAAAACTAATTACATTGTTTACTCTGCAATGACTGCCAGGATCAATATTTTCACTTAGGGCTGTCTTTATAACAGTCTTTGATCGTCAGTCCTTATATTAGTTTTGCCCCTTAGCTAGCCCCACCCCAAACATTCATGTATGTCATATAGTAAAAATTATCTTAAGTGTTTGAGAACATCGTGTTGCAAAAGATTCTGTAACTTTATTCCTGCACTATATTAAAGATTTGGTAACTACTTCAAACATAAACCACATAAAAAAGCTTTGTAAAAAAACAGCCTTCCTTTTGGTTTGGCTGATTTTTGACAATGTGAGTGAAAACTCACCCCACTGTCCAGAGGAAAAGATCCCTAAAGAGTGAAGGAAGAATCAAAATGATAGCTACTGCAGGAGCTTGTTTCATAGGCCTGCCTGTTGGAAAGAGTCTAAACGTGTCTTAATTCTTACAGTTATTTATGGTATTTTTATATACCATTGTTTCTATTTATTGTAAACAATTTTGGAAGAGTCTTATCCAAAAAGGCAGGACATAAACAATAAATAAATGGCAACATCCCTGTTCAGACTTCATCTAAGTTCAAATGTAGAAGTTTAATAGGATATATAATGTGCAAATATGGCATAGGTATTACTTTGCAATTTATTGTTTGCAAGTCTGTTTTTCCATTCCTAATAGCATTCTAATGGCGTTATACTTCCAAAAGGCTAAAAAAATATTCTTTAAGAATGTTATTTGAATACTGCTTTGCAGGTTTACAAAGAAGAATGCAAAATCACAGCAGAAATTCAGGCTAGGACAACATATGACCAACTATGAATCAGATAAGAGTAGAATGCAAACAAGAATGTGGGAGTATAAAATAGCTATAAGTAAATATGTCCCTATTGTGAATGCTTTGCAGAACTGAATAAGTTATCAAAAGCTTAACATTTTTGTTGTACATTCAAAAGAATTATTATTAATCTTCTATCAAATGTCCAACAGGGTTAGATACTAGCCTCTTACCTTCAAGCACCGGATTGGATTGTAAAAGTTGTTCTTTTACTTGATTAACTTCTGCTCCTTTGCCACAAACTGCTGCCACATAAGACATGACAAGTTTGCTGGCTTCTATAAGTTATAAAAGAGAAGAAAAAAAAGTTATATTCCACACGAAATAATTTATAGTACAAATGCCTGAATGAATTACTCAGATATACAGTAATGCACGTCTCACATTCATCCTTGTTTTCTACATTTATCTTTGTTTATTATCTTGGTAACATTCTGCACCTTTATCAGAATCACCATGAAGCAAGGCATCTATGAATTATTTGTCTTATTTAATATATTTACATCCTGTCTTTTCAGTCAGGAACTCAAGGTTGCATAAATAGCATATGTTTTTCCTCACAAAACCCTGTAAATTAGGTTGGGCTAACAGAGAATGACTGGCTCAAAGTCCCCCAATGAGCTTCTATGGCTGAAGGCTACATCCAATAGAAGCATTTTATAAAAGAGAAAATAGGGAATAGGTCTCCACGCCATCTAGTAAGCATTACCTCAATACTCCATTAATGCAATACTATAACCTTAAAAATCAGTGAATGCACATCAGTAAATGTAATATAACAGTAATCTGAAGCATTCAAGAACATAAGTAAATTTTAGGTTTTGATTCTGCATCCACTTTTACTACCTTTTAGCGAGTTACTAAACCCACATCAAAGTCTTATTAGACTGTTAGACCATGATATTGGGAATTACCTGTCTTTAGAGCTAATCTGGTATAATGGTTAAGGCCCTAGGCTAAAAATCAGGAGACTGTAAGTTCTAGTTCTGTCTTAGGCACAAAGTCAGCTGGGTGCAGTTGCGCCAGTCACTCTCTCTCAGTCCCAAGAAGAAGGCAGCAAACACAAACCATTTCCAAATATCTTTGGCAAGAAGCTGGTCTTATGGACCAGCCCAGGCAGTCCAGGGACAACACTGACTCAAAGGCAGGAAAAAAAAAAACCTTCAGAGAGAGAGGCTAATGGAATCTTTCTGCTCTGCAATCTTCAACCATTTGAACAATGTGCTTAGAGAAGCAAAGCCTCCTTAAGGCCACATTCCTGTCATATCAGGAAGAGCTCACTTGTCCTCACTGCTGAGGAGGTCATTTAGATGGCATCTGAGGTAACTCCTGTTGTTTCTCCCTTTTTTTTCCTGATTTATTACTCCCTTAGCTTTTGTTTGCTGGATTTTATTGCTATTTGAATATGATGATATATATATTTCACTTCAAGCTCACTTGCCTTGTAGATCCTGCTAGCTGGAAAGGCAGGTGATAGATGCCTTTGGATGAAAATAAAAAATAAACTTCTGGGGACAATGGTGGACTGAAGACAGTTTCATGAAAAGAGGAGCCAATACTTGGAATCGTGACTATCATTAGGGAGCCGACAAATAGATCACCGCCTTTGAGTCTCTCTGGGTAAAGAGAGGATTTGAGATCACCATATGGTTCTCCTTGAGTTTGTTCCTCACAAGCAGACTGCAAGACACCAGTATTTGGAAGTGGGGTACCAGAATTGAGAGATGAAAAGTTTACTATAATTGTTCCAGCCACAAACAGAGCCTTTTTAAAGGATACTAAGCTCATGTACTTCCCTTACTAATCACCTGTAGAAATTGCCTATGAACTGCTTCAAAATAATCAAGGTGACAAGAGTGTTAATATTGGATGAGTGCTTTCAATCCTTAATATAAGAAACTGAGGATCTATCTTTATAATCTTTAAGAATTTAAAATAAACAGCAAAAAAGCAAGGCAAGGTTTGCCTATAGAAAGTTTTAAATGGATTAAGAGCTCAGAAAAAGTTGGAATATTGGATTTTGAGTATTCCCTAAAGTGGGACTACTCGGGTGATCCTGAGGACACAGGTAAACCTCCAAATGGCCTCAATGACTCTCTAAAAGAATACAAATGACCAGCTGTCTGCAAGGAATATAAATCCTTCCATTCCCCACCATCCAGTCAGAGCTGAAGAAGCTTCATGGATGAGAGGCGAAATGTCTTCAAAGAAAAACAAGAAAGTCCAGTTGCCTCCTGAAAAAGCACCTTTGGGACAACCATGATCTGGATGACTGAGAATCTCCATAGAGATTTTGAGTATTAAAACTTTGAAATTAATCTTAAAGAATAAATGTATTTTTGTGGGGAGGAAAAACTGTTTTTAATATTGGAGACATAACAAGACGAGTAACGTATAATAGAATTTAAAGATATCTTTGAGGAATTGCATCAGGAACAGCACTGGGTTTTTGAATCAATTGTTATCTATGTTATGTCTTCTTGGGAACAGTCTGTTATCAGAAGAAGATATTACAGAAAAAGATATGCAACAAAATCCACCCAAATGAGACTTTGAATAAGAATTTGTCATCACATATTTTTTTAAAAATAGGGGCACCTTCAGCAATTAAAAAGGAAATAAAAGTGATGATCCCAGAGAACAACTGGAATGATTGCTTTTTGTTTTACAAAATTACAAAAGAGGCTGTTTAAGCTATGGAAGAAATTATTAACAACTATCTGAGTGGATTTGCAAATTAGAGAAAAATTATTCTGTAAAAGAAAAAAGGAATATAAAGTCTAAGGTTAAAATGGGACAGGTTGTCATTTTGCCTGATTCTTTTTGGATGCTGATATAAGAACTGGAAAAAGGCGGCATATTAGATATGCTTACATTTAACATGGAGGTTAAACTTCCTCTTTACACTTATTTTATTTATCCTAATTTGACAGGATTTAAATAGACTCTGTATCTGTTTTTATATTTACAGTAAGAAAGTTTTGTGAATTTGTTTTCTTTAAAGGAGAAATTATTCCTCTTTGTTATTTTATATTGTAGTCTTTTGTTTATATTAGGAGGCTGGGATTATTTTACATATGCTAAATGTGAATTTGTTTATAGTTTAGAGTTGCAATATGGAATGTTTATTTGAATGGGACATGTTATTTGGGGTGATTTTCTTTGGAATTGTTGGTATTTGGAATGGAAAAATGTTGCGTATTGGAGTTTGTCTTTTTTAAGGGACAGATGGTCCCTCTTTATTATGTTAACGTTTTTTTTCTTGTTTTCTTGTTTTTACACATACACACACACGCACGCACGTACGTATGTATGTATGTAAAAGGGGAGGAGAATTTACTGCTTTTTCTTTTCTTCCAGCACCCACTTTTCCTCTTTTTTTGTACACTTTTTTTTGTTGTTGTTAGGATTGAATGTATGCTTTTGTTTTGTTTCGTTTTGTTTGTTTGTTTTACTGTTTTGTTTCATTTTGTTGGTTTATTTTACTGTTTTGTGTTTTATTTTTTATGATAAAGTAATAAATAGCATTTAAAAAAATTTTGTTTACCCTACGAAGTTAAGACCATTTTATACCTTTTAAATGTTTGTTTTGCTTACAGCTAAGAGTTAAGATGAATTTTATATAGATTAACTAAGATTAGTATTTCAGAGTTCTGATTAGAACTTTTGCTGATAACTGGATTGGAGAAGGGATTACAGACATTATTCTGCTAACAAACTTTCAAGTTATGAACTTTTGCCAATGCGAACAAACTTGTTTGCACCTGGAAGTTGGGGTGGTGGACAAGTTTGTTTGTATTGACAAAATACATATATGGAGCACCAAATCCCTGGGACTTTCTACACTGGCAGAACACACTCCACCCAAGCAGCAGTATCATAGCAAAACAGATCCAGTGAGCGCACACAAAAACGTAGTGCAGATAGTCCTCAACTTACAACAGTTACGACTTATGACCTGCAACAATTTGTTTAGTGACCGAAGTTACAATGGCACTGAAAAAAACTTGTGATTATTATTGACTTACTGTATGACTGTTGCAGCATGATCACATGATCAAAATTCAGAGTTTTGGCAACTGACTCATATTTATAACGGTTGCAAATGTCCCAGGATCATGTGATCCCCTTTTGCGACCTTCTGACAAGCAAAGTCAATGGGGAAGCCAGATTCACTTAACAACCGTGTAACTAACTTACTGCAGTGATTCACTTAAGAACTGTGGCAAGAAGTTGTAAAATGGGGCAAAACTCACTTAACAACTGTCTCACTTGGCTCAATTGTGGTTGTAAGTCGAGGACTATCTGCATAGAGTTTAGGTACCCAGTTTAATCCTCTTGTACTTTTTTTGACTGTAGGACTAGTAAAGCTGGAGAGATAGAATTCCAAGAAGAACTTAAGGTTCACTCACTTCACTATCTCTTTCTCTAGAATCCTTCTAGTATGCTGCCTCTCTTGTGCTGACCTTCTTTTGCCTAGTCCATTTTTCGTATGCTATCAAAGATTTGCACAACTTTGTCAGTTCCAACCTTTTTATGTTTTCTTAAACATGAACACTGATGTTCCACATTACTGCCAGTATTTCATCTTTCCAATTCCAACCTACGTTCCATCAGTCTTCTAAACAAAAAGAGCTCCGCTATCTTTTGCGAAATAGACCTATGAGCTGAGTAATAATGAAGTCTCCTATCTGGGACTGTGAAAACTATGACTGTAATATGGCTAGTCAAAGTTTTAGATTTACAAGATTGGATTGAGAAAAGAGCACACATGTTAATATCTTAGAATTGATAACAATATAATAATACATATATTACCTGTTTTTCCAGCTCCACTCTCTCCAGTTATAAGTATACACTGGTCTTTATCCTGGTCTCTCAACGATCGATATGCTTCATCAGACAGGGCAAAACTATGGAATAAAGTAGGACATCTTAAGATATCTAGGTCACATCCAGTGTTATTCAAGAAGCACCAAAATATTTAAATACTTCAACAACTTTTGTTTTTTTTTATATATATAAAATTTTTATTAATTTTTGAAATTAAACAACAAATAATACAAATATGATGCATTTACTTACACAAGCAAAAAAGATAATCCTACTCAATACGTATTCGGAGACGCTCGGCAGTCCCCGCCTTGCCTCCACCCTCATTCACTTTCCTCTCCTTCCTCCCCCTAACCTAAACCCACAACCTCTCCTCTTTCCTTCTTTCCACCTCCCTATATCCCATCTTCCTTCTTAACCACCTCATCGAGTGCAGTTTGGGGTACCGGCTGAGCATCTCCTCTTTTTAATACAATTCCATTATTTACCTATAATATATAAATACATCAATTTTTATAATTTCTCCCCTAATCCCCTTCTCCCCTCCCCCCCGGACTTCCCAGAACTGACTACAGGAATAATCATATAATAATCCAAATCTAACCCAAACAACCCATTCATAATATAAACAAGTATAAACTTACTGTAACTCTAATATACAATAATCAACTTAACTATAAACTATATATATAAATTATCTATTCTTATCTATTCTTCCTGAATCAACATCTCTCATTCAATAGGAAAAATTATGATGAGAGATGATACAGAAACACCATTCATACCAACCACATCTAGGATGTGAAATGTCAGCCATTGGTATTTTTCATTATCAGTTCCAAAAATGGGACAATACAGTTCCGGAAACTCAAACTGGGAAGCTAAAATACTGTGCAATAAGAGCTAATGTTGTACAGTACAGTATATTATAGCTGCAGCTGCAGCAAGTCATCAACACTATTCCTAGACCCTACTTAGATCATCACTAACACATGCCTTCAGTTCTAAAACTCATATGGAATTATACACTAAAATCTAAATCTAAAATATTTTAAGTAGCGGCATTTATTTAAATTTATTGATTGCCTAACTTCAGTAAGATATTAACAGGCATGTTTCAGTGCTGTAATAAGATTACTTCCATTAATTGTCTAAGATATTGCCAGCACGCTTGGGATGTTGAGACTATAACATGAAAGTAATTATATATGTCAGGCTCAAGAAACCAAGAGCCAGAATAGAGTTAAAGTATTAAGAGTATATTTTCTGCTACCTATAAACAAGAATCTAATCTACTAATGTTCAAGGCAAATTCACAGGGGGCTGGACATAGGTCTCTTGTGGGAATGGAGCGATTCCAAACTGATGACACATTTGACCCTGCCCCTCAGACTCACCCTGGTCTCCTACAGTAGATATTTTATATCCATAAGCATGAAACCTTCACATTTGAATAACCCATTCAAATAAATGAATGGTTTTAAACATTATACATTACAGCAGAGGGACTAAAATCATAATCTAAACAATTCCATTTTCTTACAAAATAAGAGACATAAACTATAGTTGAAAATTAAGCCAAGATGGTAAGAAGCGATATTTAAAAAACTCTTCATGTATTTTTCACCCCTTGAAATACCATGAACCCTGTTCATGGCACATAGAACAATTTTTAACGTTGTTAAACGTCCTCAACTAGAAAAATTCCCAAAAATTATATTTACATTAAGGAATGTTCCACATGGGGTGGGATGCAGAATAACTATCTGAGAAAGTTCTACAGGCAAAAAAAGTATACAATATTAACAATCACGAAACAAGAACACCTTTCTGATAAGAACTCTTAGCAGTCTTTGACTCAAAAGGCTGAGTTAAGTTGGATTTAATTAGTTATTGGATGACCAGGAAATACCAGGGTTATTGTCTAAATAGAAAAAATCAATAAAATCCCAGATAAAAAATCAGACAAATCATTTCCAAAAGAAATGTAATTACATCTGTTAATAAAAATGTAACTAAGTATAAATGCTGTAGCTCATACTATCCCATTTTACAAAAAAATCAAAACCACATTTAAAGGGAGTAAAACAGTTAGTGGTTAAAGAAATTATGTCTTTCTTTACTGTCAGCAGCTTGTTACAGTATAGTGATCTGAACAACTAGCAACGAAAACCACCGGTATGTTTGAAGGGCACTGTTTATTTGAGAAACTCCCTGGATACAAATTATGCCCAACTTTCTTTACCAATATTCATTCTAAGGCTGACCAGAAGCAACATTTAGTTCATAACTATGAACGGTGCATCAAATTTGCTGATTCTATATGGAATCCTGTGTATTTTCACCTTGACAAGCCTAACTTGACTAATCCTATAGACTTGCAATGAAATCATTTACAGATTTTGATTATCATCCTGCAGAGTATGCAACCACTCAGTTTAATTGCACTTACTGACTCCATTAATATAAATTAAGACATTTAATTACTTCAGTACTCTACTAGAACAAAAATAAATCTTATCAAAGTTTTATCTGGAAAGAACAACAGTGGTTTAGCAGATAAACAGTATTATCAACTCAAATCTCTCTTTCGTTTTATACTTAACATCTAGAAGCAGTTCTTATCTCTCTCTCTTTTTTTTTCATCTTCTAACATCACTACCACAAGACTACTATAAGAATAGCGTCATGGGTTCTGTGGAAATGAAGCGCGATAAATTTAACTTACTGCTGTGGTAATTTTACTTTACCATAAATCTTGCCATAATCAAATCAAATCAGTTCATTACAGATCTAAGGCCAGATTAAATTTTGCCATACATTTCAAGAGTTTCAAACTGAGTTTATTCTAAGAAATAAATTTTATTTAATTTTTAAATCCAAGGTGCATTTATTTATTTATTTGTTTGTTTGTTTATTTCCCATCCATTTTTTTTTAAAAAAAAATTTTTATACAAATAATTTAAGGCAGCGAACATATCCAACACACCTTCCTTCTCCTATTTTTCCCACAATAACATCCTTGTAAGATGAGTTGAGCTGAGAGAGAGTGACTGGCCCAAGGTCACTCAACTGGCATTTACAGCCACACGGTGGGACTTGCTCACAATCTCCTGCTTCCTAGCCTGGTGCCTTAACCACTTGACCAAATTATCTCAGCCTTGGAATAGTCTAAATATTGTCTCATCCCATTTTAAGCCTTCACTTGGTTGAAATCTGATTTTCATTTTAGCCACTTTAGTGTTGTTCTAGAACTATTATTATCTCATTGAAACATCTCTAGGTGTTTTGATTTCTTTATCCCCATGAAACACATATGGCTCAGCAGTAGATTGAAAACATCTCAAGATACAAAAAATTTTTTGCCGAGCCCTGAAGGCCCATCTATTCCGTGCGGCCGGCCTGGCGTAGTTTGATTATGTTTCAGTGGGGGTTTTTTTTTACGGGTGTGTTTTTAGAACAGGCCTGTTATTTAATTCGATTTTAAAACAAACTATTTATTTATTATCGTGGTTTTTAGTATCGCCTGTTCACCGCCCTGAGTCCCGCAAGGGAGATAGGGCGGTATATAAATTTAATAAATAAATAAATTACCATGATTTCCTCACACAATGGACAACTTCATCAGGCACTGTCCTTAAGAATCCTGGACTAGAATTTGAGCTGATAAAATCTGATTCTGCTGGTTTCTTCCCCAATCCCCTATTGTGGGAAAGGCTCCATAGGGTAATCAAGATGCAGTCTGCTACCCCCATATGCTGTTGAAACCACACAGAATCCCACTTGTGGGTAATCACCTTCTAAAATAATGTCAAAGTTGGCCTAAGAATGGGAATTATTCCATGGTAGACAGAGGAACAATAGATTCTAAAGGGATAACAGGAATTTATAATAATCAGCAAATGTGAATATTCATCTCTAAGTATTAAATGGCTCTATTGTAAAGGAATCATCTGAGTTTGTCACTAATTTCAAAACACCACCATTTACCTCCACTTTCATCCCCTTATTACCTACACAATCCAAAGCCACTCTCACTAATTCAACTATCAGTAAGGAAAAAGTGCCAAATGGTATTCTAAGTTTCATAAGATATATGAAGGGCTCAAGTGTCTAAAGAGAAGTGACATCTCATATACAGAAAAGCCCCTGAAAAGTGAACTAAAAACAATAGGGGTGGGGAATCCTTTCAGTTTGTGTTTTTTAATGGGCTTCTTCATGGAGCCAACTCAGAATGTCAACACTTCTCTTTAAAATGTATAGGTGACTTTATACAAATACATTTCAACAGTATCCAACTGCCTTTTCTGTTGTAATTCATCGTACTCTTAAAAAACTATTCCAGAAGCAAAGGGAAATCTTAGATTGAAATCTAATGAAGCTCAAACAATTGCAGTAAAAAAACAACAGAATACAATAGACTCCAATATAAGAAAATATTTTGCAGGCATTCCCTAATTTCTTGCATCTCTTTGGATTAAATTACGTATCTCAAGAATATTATCTGTACTTTCAACCACTGAGAAGCAGAGGGAAAGGAGTACAGTGTAGTGAACTTTTCAGGCACAATCACCCCTACAGGAAAGGCCAAGAAGAAATACCTACATTTAATTAGATTTGCTTTGTATTTAGATGAAGCACCAGGAATTTGAGTAGCTCTAGTCCACATAAAGCTTCTAAAAAAATTGGAGTCATTTGTCATACGCAGAGCACTAATGCTACCTTCGAGTGCAAACTACTGGTGGCAGCCACAATCATCTTCTCTAGTCTGGAGCTGATGAGGGGATGCGAGGGGAGAATGTTGGAGCACAAACAGTAGAGAAAGTGTATACTGAACAGGAAAATCCAGAATTGTAAGGTTCTAACTTCGATCTAGAGAGGGGAAAGGTTTTACTTATTTAATTTCCAAATACCTATTGAACATTGGACAAAACACCCATTGGACAAAAGTGTCCCTTCCAAAACAGCTATTAAATACTACACTGCTCAAGGTTTTGGGCTGGAACTGCAGCCCATTGTCAACCAGAGAAACTCACTACATCATTTTACCACTTACTCTTATTAGCTCTCTACTCCAAAG